TGCTTCCCTCACCTTTCTGTACGTCTACTAATTCCCAGTGCATGGAAATTCACTTTTTCCTGGGGCAATTTCCACAAAAACTTTCAAATTTCCACAACCCCCATTTGCACCAAAAGGCTGTTTTAGCCCTTATTGGTCACCTGAAAATCTGCTCATTTCCACTAAAGGTCGCCCCCCCCCCCCGAGATTTCCGCCACTGACCACTCCACATCTTCTGGTCGTTTCGTTCCATAGCGTATCACAGTTAGGAAAGTAATATCTCAATTGTTGTAAAGATAAATAGTCTAGGCTAAGTAAGTAACATTAAGCTAATATCACAGCAAGTGTGACAGATAATAATTATCATTGACAGTTAGTTAATTATACATAATAGTATTCTACCAATTATCTAAGAGTTAAAATATTTAACAGTAACAAAACTTGCCAATCGTTCAGTGTTTATCTGAATACTAGAGATTCTGTCATATCTTAAATCATAACTATATATGTTCGGTAGGAATGTCAATAGAATTACGTTTTAAAATATCAGCTAAAGGATTGTTATTACAGACCTCTCAGGACTTCATTCTATTGATGAATTTCTGGCATGCAGATTGTCTGCGATCCGTAAGTGATTCTAAACCAGTTGACAAGAGAGCCTCCTCATATGAAAGCGAGGGTAGTACAGTCCGTAAAGCCCGCTTCTGAACTGACTCAATTAGATTTGCAAGAGTAACAGTTAAATCTGACCATACAGGCGATGCATATTCGACACACGATCGTATAAATGAACAATAAACAAGAACAAGATCCTGTGTGGTTTAAACCAGATTTCCTCTGTTGTCGTAATGCGTAAGGGCGAGAATAGGCTTCTTTAAGGATGTACTCGATATGAGAGTTCCAGCTACCACTTTAACACCCAGTAGCTTGTGTGAGGGAACTTTTTCCACTGGCATTCCTGAGATAAAAGTGGAATCCAAATCAAAGAACGTACTGTACTTGAGGAAGGATATCAATATCTTGCATTTTTTTGGATTGTGTTCCATTCCACGAAGCGAAATTAACCACTTCGTCTACTACCATGGGAAGCAAACTTGGCGGGCAACGAGTGACAATTTCTAGTGCAGTAGCATCGTCCACAAATTTTATCCTTTCCTGCCAGTTATCTAAAAGCGAATTGACTAAAACAGCAAACATAAGGGGGCCCAGTTTGGTTCCCTGAGGGAGACCTCCATTGGTCTTCCTCCAAGATGAGGTGGATTTTTCAATTCTAACACATTGTTCTCTCTCCGTTAAAAAGGACTTAATCCATTGAACCAAGACAGGCTCATGGACATCAAGATTATGCAACTCGGTAATAACACCGTTATGGTCAAAGAGGTGAAACCCCTTGGTCATAGCCTTGCTCTCCCCTCACCTTCTCTGCAATATCTACTATGAAGTGTTTTATCTTTTATAAGAAAGCTTCGGATGGATAGGGATACAACTACCTGAAAAATAAATTAGCTTATCTTATCTGGCAAAATTTGTTAAATTGCTGAATCGGAACCCCCCCCCCCTCCCCTCCCCCTGGATTGAAGAGGGTTTATTTCCACCACTGACTGTAATCATACCGCGGTGTTCTTATCGACATCATCAATAATCAACATTAATGCTATCTTATTTCTAAGTCCAAGTGGTATAATTACCGCCAAACACGATATAGGCCATACAGGTGTTGCTATCTCATAAAGTAGAACATATAATTAAAATTTTGTTTTTCTGAACTTTTGGCGAATGCCCTAGAGAGAACCTTGGCGATGCTCCTTTGTCGATTATTTTCATACATTTAGGACAGAATTTTGAATAAAGGCACAAATTCACCTTAAAAATCACATTGCAGCATAATAATGTCAAATGTTTTTCAAGTTTCAAATTTATTAAAAACAAAATTATAATCACATGCACAAAACACAGCGAAAATTCATTATATTTATATATTACAATTCTTACACTTTTAGGTTAAAAATTTTCCAGCCATTTTCTGTAGACACCGACGACCCGACGATGAGTCCAATATATTTTGACTTTTTAAAAATAATGATTATTTTTTTCGTCCTCCGCCTATATTTACACAATTTTTCGCTTAATTGTCATATCTGATGCGAGTCGGATCGCAAATCGACAAAGGCCAAAACATAATACAACAAATTTTCGCTTTTTTTCATCCAAAAAGGAGCCAACCAGTTGTCAATTTTTGCTACATTATATATAATCGTGGCGTGCTAATGTACATTTGTGGTGGAATTGTACAGCTTTTTTGTCGAATTTCCAAGCGAATTTGCAAAGATTATTAAAAATACGCATTAGCCGGCTGTCTCCTTTGTCAGAAACAACAGCTGTGCACGTTCGGCGATTGTGAAAAATTACATACTGCATTAATTAATTTTTAAAGAAGTTCATTATTTTTGGCGCGTTGCATATCCCCTAGTGAGGGAATATATATAAAGTCGAACATATCACAAGCTTTTATGTTATACCTATAAATGTATTCTTTCATTGCTATTATTCTCTTTCATCATTTTATTCATGATTTTTTTATATTTTTGAAAAGAATATGCAAACGCGAAGAATAACATTTTCGTAATAAAATATTAAATGCACGTTTCTAATTACTTGAAATGGTATATATATTGTGCGCATTTTAAGGGCAAAGCGTCTGATCTATTTTTTATATTTCTAAAAGAAAATATAACGCATATATAGTTTCAAAATATTAAATGCACGTTTATGATATTTACTTGAAATTATATATGTTATGTGTGCGTTAAAACTTAAAGGCTGAAGCGTTGTTGTTAAATTAGGATTGATAAAAATTATGAATTTTCGTTCTATATGACTTTCTCACAATACAGGCTTCTTCCTTGCTTTTATGCTTTTACTGAATACGAGCAACTGCATTTGTTCCGAAATAAAAAATACATCAGTTAATTTTTCTCGTCCGGCAAAGCAAGCGAGATATTTAACAGTAAAAAACCCTGGTGTTATAGTTATCAAAGAAACGATTCCTTCAACTTAATTTGATGAAAAGATTCCTTTAACTTTTGAAAATAATTGGAGTAGTGGAAAGTTTATATACTCCATTAATCTTTTGGCATCTTTCTTATTCTGCACTACACACCTGCTATACTGTAAAAAACACACACACATATGCACATCCTGGCGACCTTCAAATTTCATGACATCGCGTAAAATGTATCACATATAGCTATATATATGGGCGTTTTATTCTCCTTTTATGGTAGGGCTCATTTTTCATTATTAAAATCGAGCTTTTGTCTTCCGTCAGACTGAGGGGGAAATATATCTATACTAAGCCAATAATCTATCTTAGTTTATACTCGGTTATACCCGTGGATAGCTCCGTTCTAAACTGTTCTCCCTATATAGTAATCCAGAAGAGTCGCTGCGTTAATTTTAAACAGTTCTCCCTATATAGAGGTCCAGTACTTAGAGACTGAGGTAAAAATCTAATCGAGTTCAAAGTTGCATGCGCGCATGCATTAACAGCTCACATATTTGCTTTAAGGTCGCATGATCTAACGAACTACCGAATATTTCATATCTTTTAATAAAATAATTTTAACTGAATACACTATTTCATATATACAATTGATAAAGTTTGAAGGTTTGTAAATTTGACTAAACGCAACTGTCATTGAACATTATATTTTATCGTATCAATATATTTTTATATTCTCTATTAGAAATGCTTCCTCCGTGATCTGCCTTCTGTCTGCAACGCCTTCGTGCAATGCGAAACACAATCCGCGAATTGTTTCAACGATCTTGCAGAGGTATCGCTCTCAGCTAGATTGGCGAGCGCAGAAATATAATACGTCGCCAGTTTGAGGATTGCGAGTTTCGAAAGTTTCTGATCCTGCGAATAGCTAGGCACGGCCCGCCGTAAGTTCTCAAATGCGTCACTCAATATATGTATTCTTGATCTTTCTCTGGCATTTGCCACTAGACGCCTGGAGCGGCTATTTTGTCGCCAAGAATTGTCCTTTTTGCCCGCGGATTGTTTTAATCTCTTTACTCCCTCCGCGTTTGCCATTTTTTTACGGAATCCTCGTTTCCCGCTCTGTTTTACTAGCTGCGCGCTTGTCTCGCTGTCTGATGAATGTTCATTCGTTAAATGGCTTCCTTGGGAATCCGTCTCTACATTCAACTCGGTTCCATTCGAACGTTTCGTTTTGTTCGATCGTTCGTTCGAATTTGCCGCAGTATCTATGTAGTGCAAGTCCAAATGTTCCTGAGCATTTAAGTGGCTTCGTTCGTGCGTATTTTTTCCCACACTTAAATCGCTTTGTTCTTGCGAACGTTTCGCATGAACATTCGAATGGCGATCCGAACGTTCTCTGGCACTTACATGGCTTCCTTTGGAACGTTTTGGCGTGTTCGAATTGATTCCATCGAACCAATTAGAACTCTCTTTTGATTCCATGGAACGATTTTGCGAAAATCTTCGGCTTGTTTTTTCCGCGTACGATAGACGTCCAAACGCTGTGACATCTGTTCGGGAGCTCGCTGCCATTTCGTCAAAACAATTCGATGCCCCGACCCCTAACTAATTTCACTTTTATTCTAAATTTCCTAGTGCACTTCACCAGAATTTTAACTTTTCGAAGTCTTTTTATCGGTTGGCGGTTCTGCTCAAGGGAGCACCAGATTTTAATATAACGAGATAGGTCTTTTGATTTGAGTCTTATACTCTGCGTTGTTTTAACACCTGTTCGTATCTTTGCCATCCACACGCATGATGTCAATATATTCATGTATATATGCGCTCTCTAGCGCCGCGGCCAAACAGCCCACACTATGTCTTATTTACATACATGCTGGCCTCTACAGCCACCTGCTCGCATGAAACAAAGCCTCGTATATATACTTATTGTCGCGCTTCAGAATCATAATGTCATTAAAACTCGCTCGAAAAAAAGACGAATTCGATACTTACATGACCGGTTTGAATATACAAAAAGATGCACTTCGCCTGCACTTCGCTCTCATTTCAGCCAAAAGTAGAGGCGCTTAATTTATTAGTTTTTTTAAGCAATAATCGATATGCAGTCGTAATTTCATACATCATATTCTATTGTATGACATGATGCTCCCATTTTCACTAATACAGCTGTACCAAAGATTTATGCAGAGCGTGTTTCAAAACAAAGCGAAATGGAAATTGATATTTTACTAATGGCTTTATAGTTGAATGTGTTTTACATCGGAGTCATATTTTAAAAGTCATATTTCTTTCAATAAAAAGTCGTAAAGTGTTTAAGTTGCATTTCGAGCTATAAAAATTATAATGATTAATGAGTCGAAAAGTTGATTCGGTATCGTGTAAGTCTGTCAACCGGTATAATTTCATCAGATAGAATAGATACAGGTAAATAAATATTCGGAAATAAGAGTGACTTTTTCCTCTTTTCCATAAAATTTTACTGCATGATAAAGGAAATTTAGGGCGCAAACGTCTTTGAAGACTATAAAGTCGTTATATATTTTTGCCATTTTGATAAACCGAATAAAACATGAGAAAATTGCTACAAGGTGTTTAGACAGCTATTAAATAGGTTTTATGACAAATTGAACAGCTTCTCCTAAGCCAAACGGCTTAAACAGTAACTTGAATTAATTTTTGCTGGTGTTACTATATTAGTGTCTTCATGCACACCGGGCAAGCCAAGGGTCGCTGGATAGCTCTATCAGTTCTAAACTGTTCTCCCTAGAGGTCCAGTAAGTATCATCCCTTATTAATCCAGTGTTTCTGCAGGAGGAAATCTAAACTGAACTAACTTTATTTATACTGGATAACTCTATCAGTTCTAAACTATTCTCCCTAGAGGTCCAGTAAGGATCATCTCTTATTGATCCAGTGTTTCTACAGGAAGAAATCTAAATTAAATCTGTTTACTGGATCGCTCTATCAGTTATAAACTGCATGCTCTCCCCAGATATCCAGTAAGGATATAATCTCTTATGGATCCAGTGTTACTTCATGCAGGAGGAAACCTAAAATAACTTTATTTATACTGTATATAGCTCTATCAGTTCTAATCTGTTCTCCCTAGAGGTCCAGTAAGGATCATCTCTCATTGATCTAGTGTCACTACAGGAAGAAACCTAAACTAACTTTATTTATACTGGAGTAGCTCTATCAGTTCCAAACTGTTCTCCTTAGAAGTCCAGTAAGGATCGTCCCTTATTGATCCAGTGTTATATACTACAGGAGGAAACCCATAAACTTGGAGAATATTTGCGGTGTTTGGCGGAGTCCAACCGGAAAGCACACTTCTGCTTCCATTTCATTTGTACAAGCCAAACAGGTGTATCGCATCTTTGTAATTTATTCCATCCTATTTCGTTTTAATTAAAACATTTTTCTTTCGGCAATTAAACAACAAAACACAGAAACGGGGAACACATGAGAAAATTGCTATATTAATTTGCGTTCTTCGATTCTCTCGTGATCAGACGATCTGGAGTAATTCCTAAGTCAGAGTTCTGTCACTGCTTTTTGTAGGAAAAAATTTCGGAAATAGATACTAAATTTTCTGGCGCGGACGTTGAGAACAAAAGGTAATTTCTTCAAAGGTAAAATAATGAAGACGGTATCATAGTTTACACAGATGTTATCATATTTGTGTATACATGTATAACTTGCATACACTTGTCTTTAAAAAGACTTTTGCTCTTTGTCATAACATAGACAGTGTCGCAAGGTAATATGGTAAACTTTATTGGCGAGGTGGCGGGGGGGGGGGCCGGGGGTCGCCCCTACCCTATGACTCGTGTGTTTTAGTTTTCTTTCCTTGCTATCCAATTTACTGGTTATCCCAACTTGGAAAACGATTTGCCAACTGGAATACAATAATTTCCGGACTACCTGACGACCGGGGGGTGTTCCACTGTGGGACCAAGTCTGATGTTTGTTGCCCATTTGGTTATCGCGCCATAATTGCCCAATTAAGGGACTTCAATTTGAATCCCAAATGAGAATAATTTCAATACCAAGACAATAGCTTTAAATTCAATTCCCAGCGGTGGAAATATGCGTTTTCGACCGCGTTTTTAAATCAGATTGCATATGGCTATTCTGGCGGGGGAAGCAGGCGGCATTCAGCTACCATGCTGCCAACGACTGGAATAGTCTGCCTGTGGAAATCCGAAATATACAGCAAATTAAAACTTTTAAAACTAAACTAAAGAAACATTTAGCTACATAGCCATAGGACACTCTACCGAACCGATAGGATGCGCAAGAACTTTATACGATATAACCTTTCATATATTCACTTTTGTTAGTTTTATATTTTTATTCTTTTATCTTTTTTTTATCAGGGCTTCACTGAAAATCACTTTCGTGAGTGGACCCCCTGACTAAATATTGTAATTATTAATATTATTATTATATACCATGAACATTGTATATTTCTAATTTTAACTTTTTAACCGTTTGTAATTGTATATCATATATTTTCTCAAAATTTGTTATAAAATAGATGAAATAGCTTAACTGTATTTAGTCTGATGATGTTGTAATGTGACGCCGAAACGTTACTCAATAAATATTTTTTTTGTATACCAAATGCCTCTTTTACGAGTTATTTGCTGGGCAATAATATTTTTAACTAGAATTCGATTTTCGCATGGTGTTTCTATTGCTAATAATGGCCGTTTATTTTTTATTGAATACTCAAAACACACTCATGTGAGTTTACATGGGATTTTAAGAAAAACTATGAATATGAATAATCTACTCTAATCTGACTATAATCTAATAATATATTCTAATCTGACTATTCCCTATTACTTATTTACATCAATGGTTCTATAAGACCAGTAAAATTCTATATGATATTATTAAGAAGTGTTAATTAAGATATAATATATACTAGATCTGATAAAATTGAAAAGGCATCTATTTACAAATGATTTTTTAAATATTTCAGTTCTTACTAGTCCTAGAGGCGGCTCAAAGTCATGGCATCCTTGACTAAAAATGCGGTCAAGAGACAAGACGTGCCTTCCCACACGTGTACAAGCAACAAAAATGAAATTGTTGTAAATATTTCGATTATTCAAGCGTCACCGGCGTTATTGTAATAGAATTATTTTTATGCCGCGTCGTATAAATATATATATATATATATATATATATATATATATATATATATATATAGAATTTTCATGAAATATTTTTTTTATCTTTTAATCTTGTTTAACCTGGTGTAATTTAGCGCTTTCTATCTTGAAATTTAATCTCTAACTTTTGAAATAACAAGTTGTAAATTGTTTTTAAATTCATATTGTTTGAATGTTTCGCGCAAAATATTATATTTTGCGCCTTATTTTGACCAATCAAATTTCGCCGAGTCAATTAGAACGTCGATGAACATGTAAATTCCCCTTACATGTTTTCACAACAAACGGGTATTATATTCACTCGATCGAAGGCCACAGGCGAGATAGAAGCCGCTTTGTTGAGCATTTGTAAACACAATCTGCGACAATCTGTGGATCTGCGGCCGTTTTAGGGCAAAATGGCTTTGCCTTTTCGCTGGATTAAGCTATGCTTGTTGCTAGCATGCTTAATTCGCGTTCGAAGCGAGGTCTTCACGGCATTGATAGAAATGGAGAGTTTAGTTTACCGCGAGAAAGAAATGATCGCGGGTTTAAAAGACTACGTACGTCAAGAGCAAGCGAGGCTGGAAAAGATCAAGCAATTCACGGACAAACTAGATAGTTTACACGCCGTTATACCCGAGGGGAAAGTGGAAAATTATTTAGGACATCCCTCAAACGCCTACTTATTAATCAAACGTTTTGTAAAAGAATGGCCAGCTATCGAAGACCTAGCCAAGAATCCTTGGACAGTTGGTACGGAAATTTTTACAAAATTATTCATGTTTATCATAGTTTTAATCTACAAGCATCAATAATGCTTCGTTTTATGCGCTTAGATGATAAATTTCGCTATTTTTCGTGCGAAAATGTGGACGTGACAAAATGCACGTTGACAAGCGTCACTTTTCTAACGAGTTAATATGTAAACATTTCGGTTTTGTTATTAAACAGTTGCCGTTTTCATTGTTTCTTCTCGAACGTTGCTTCTCGCGTGGTTAAGTGCCGTTTATCCGTTTTGAATGTATTTGCGTATGCTTTGACGTTATCTAAAACGATGCATTAAAGAAAGGTCTTGTGTCTAACAACGTATATTCTTTGATTAAAAGTACAATATTTATGTAATAGGAAGTAAATAATTAAACATTAGTGTTATAAATTAATTATCTTAGACCGGGGTTAGAAGGCGAACTGAAAGTCATGAAATCTAAACAGTCTCCTGGCAACAACACTGGCTCAGTGGGCAATACTTTTAGTGACTTATAAAATCACTCAGCTAAGGGCCACGTCCATATTCATGTTGCCACAAATACTGTCGAATTGATGTTATGAGTGGATGGGTTTATCTCGTAGCAATTTGACAATGAATTTCCAAAGTGACTATCACATTACAGCTTTTGTATTATC